AAAGACGCCACACGCCCGGCCGGTCCCCGGGGCCCCACCCTTGGCCGTCTCCGTCACACAACAGCGCCCCAAGTCGGCCCAGCGACCCCCCCTGCTGCAGTTCACTTCCTCCTCGCAACCTCCTCTTTTCAGCACGCCTCTCCTCTGGCCCCCCGCCCCTCCTCTCTCTAACTATGCGCCCCGCTGAGAGGCTGCGAGGCGCTGACAGCTGACAGGAAGGCCCTGCCAGGTGAGGGTGACCTGTTGCTGGAGAATCGGTGCCGATGCAGCTAATTTCTGGGATCTTGTTCGGCGTCGGGGTTGCGGCATCGCCCCCAGAGCCGGTCTCCGCGCCCTTCTCGCCAAACCACCCCTCGACCGTGCGCCTCGGCGACCGAGAGAAAGCCCCGCCTTCTCCGGATGAGCCCTCTGAAGATTGGCGCGCGCCGCGAGGCTTCGAGTTTCTGGGATGCGGGAAACTGGGTGCCGCGGATGACTGTATCAGCCCTGCGCTCGCGCGAGCGCCTCCCCCCGCCCGCGGAGCCTCCCGGGGCGATGTGCGATCGAGGCGGCCTGCCGGGGGCGCTGCCGGCCGGACGAAAGGTCGTCCCCGCCCCGGCCCCGCTCACGAGGTTCAGGCAGCAGAAATCGCCCCCCCTTTTGTGTTTGTCCACTCCGGTTTGGCGAATTCCAACCGGTGCTCCAGGCGCCATGCCCCGCAAACGGCAACGGGCGTTCGAAGCCAACCTGCCGAGCCCGGGCTGCGAAAAGGACTCGAATTTTCGCGGGCGCATGCCGCAGGGTAAGGGCATGAAGGGCAAGGTGGAGCTTCCGGGGCTTTGCGTCGACATCCGGGTTGCGTGGCCGGCCCTCCCGGCCCCACACCGCGCGGATGGCAGCGGGGTCCTGAAGCCGATCCCCCGAGACCGAGCCGCGAAGGGATTCCAATCTTCGCAAGCGCTTGCGGCAAAGCGTGGCTGGAGCATTTCCCCAGCCAGTTCGGCAAGTTCCTCCAGGCACCAGGACGCGCAAATTGCAACAGGGCTCCAAACGCAACCCCGGCGACCCCGAGCTGGAGAAAATCAGAATCTTCTTTCGCAGCATGAGCGCTTGCGGTAAAGCGTGGCGCCTGAGCTTCGCCGCGGCAAAGGGGAACCTAGCCTGTGTCCAGGTTGGGCGGCAGGCGGTGTGCAATTCCATCGATAACGTATTTGTCACCACGCGACAAGACAGGCCCTTTCCGCCCTTCTGCCCCAAGCTGGCGATGTCCGGGGCGGGCAGTGTGACAGGCGAGAATGCCCCCCGGGCCGCGGAGGCGGATGCGGGGAGCCCGGCAGCCGGCGTCACTCTTTTTTGGTAATGATTTCGGGGCTGAATGGCCGCAGGGTCGATCTGGGAGAGTCTGCTGGGCACCTGTGCGCGCCGCGAAGGGGACGGGGGTGGTGGTGGGGTGGGGTGTGCGTGTGGGTGGGTGGGTGGGCGGGTGGGCAGGGGAGATTGTTACAAAAGAGAGAACAACACAGTGAGTGAAAATCCTGACAGGCAACGTGAAAAACTGACACACCGGTCATGTCACGTGCCTCTCATACCGTCAAACAGCGTCCCTCCACTGGCGGTCTACGGAGAAGAAACAGTTCACACAAAGGGCAAACCCACCTGAGCAAGTTGCATGCGAGACTCTTTCCCGCACTGTGAAAAGATGACACAGAGTCTCTGTTGCGAAATGACGAGCACACAGCGCAAGATGGTGGGGGGCGGGTTTCCAGGAGGGAGGTGCCTTGGGCCGGATTACACACTGCCATGTGATTGCAAGGCACCTGGGCGCTGCCTTGGCTGGCGCAGGGAATGTGATGCCGGAGTTCGATGTCGGCTGTGGGCAGGCGGGCATGTGGCGAGATGTGTTATGAAACCCTATGAGAGCATGGCAAGAAAAGGAGCGTCCCGGTCCTGGCAGGAACAAGATGGGGGCCATTTTCCGTACTATAGGGTACTATATGGGTACTATGGGGGGTGCTATGGGGGGCACTATGGTGGTGGGGTTTGCAAATGGAGGGGGAAGGTGGGGTGGGGGGGTGGGGGGGACGGGGGGGGCCTTTGTCGCCATTGGGGTCGGCGTTTTGCCTCCATGAATGGCTGTCGTGGCCTGCGTCAGTCTCCCCAGGGGAAGCCAGGGTGGGATGGCCTGCGTTGCGCAAAAGAGTTCAGGCATGGATTGGTGACAAAGGGGGAGAAAGGAAAAACAGGAGTCTAGCACAGAGGGCCAGGGGCGGATAGGTGGGAGAGGCCGAGTTGGTTTTAAAAGGCGAGTGCCAGGGCCAGAGATGCTAAAGTGCTCTGTGTACAATGGCCTTTGGAGACAAGGCGTGGTGGTGGAGGGACAAGTTTGCTTTGGTTAGAATGTCTGTTGAAAGACAAGGGCTGGGCGAAAGGCTAAATTAAATACTAATTGCTTTATTTACATTATTCACTTGCATAAATTACTTTGTTTGGAATTGGCTTGGAAAGACAAGGCGCAGGGTTCAAGAGGATGCTTTGCTTGGTTGAAATTGGAGGACAAGGCACAGGGGTGGGGAGGCTGAATTCTTTTGTATGGAAATACTGAGAAACACAAGGATGGGGGGGTTGCAAGGCACCGTGGGGGGATGGGTGTGAATGTTGGCTAACGTCGGCCATGTGCATGGTTTGCAAAATTGGCGACGGCATCTGGGAGCGCCGTTGGGTTGAATGTGCTGGGGGAGTTGTCCTTTTTCAGTAAAGAGGTGTTGGATGTTGCTTATCTGCTGTGGCATTTTCCTTTTTCCGATCTGGACATGTTGTATATTACATGGCTGCAGGAGATTTGTTCGTTTTCTTAAGTCAGGACATGTTGGTCATTGCACTTCCAGGGAGTTTCCATCAGGGCCAGGGAACCTTGCGGAAGGGATAGCCCCTGTCCCTAACATGTGAACCAAGAAACTTAGTCCAGGGCTCAGTGACATTGCTGTTGGCTCCTTGCTGGAGTGGATGTGAGCCCATTCTGTAGGTTGTCTGCTGTTTTTGGCTTAATTGATTCCAGAACATTGCACCACATTTGAGAGTGGTGTGATGTTCTGGAATAAAAGAAAAGCAGGGTGGCAACTTGGGTTGGGGTGTTCAAGTTGGTATGGCAGGTGGATGTGCTTCCGATTTGCAGCAGAATCCTTGCATCACCATTTCGGTACAGTTCAACTAATTTGATGGCACGTATTGTTGCCATAGTGTTGTGCTCTGGGTGAGCGTGCTTCTAAGCTCTGGCAAAGATCATGCAGTGCTGGCTCACTGCAGTCCAATTATTTTGATGATAAAGAGACTCCAAGGTGCCGCCCCCCCCCACCCCCGGCCCCAGCCCCACCCCCCACCCCACCCCCCCCACACACATGAATTTGGCAGGGTGGGGAGGGGTTTGCATTTAGTGTGACCTGCTTCTCTTTCCTGTTGGAGTGAATCTTGGCCATGGCATCCTTTGGAACATCTTAGCAATGGATGGTCCCATTGTGAAGAGAGGCATCTGAAGGGGACCCGCTCAGTGCTGAATGCTTTCCCAGCAACACACAATGTTACAGTGTTGACAGAAGCTTGTCAACAAGAGTCGCAGCCGCAACGGTCTGTCTGCACTGTATCTCTGGACCAAATTCCGCCACCAACTCCTGGCCCGCTCCCTGTTTTGCAGAGTCTCCTGTATGCCAGTACTTTATGTCAACGCAATCAGCCAGTGTCCCACTGCAATACTTTGTGCTTGCTGTGGGTGCAGGGTGGAGTGTTGGTGCAATTCGAATCGGCGCGGGGCGTGGAGCATCGCAGGCCCACCATCTGTTGCACCCATCATTTGGGTGTTTACTGGTTCCCGTTGTCACTTGGGTCAGGATTGGGTGTTGACCTGTTGACCAGGGTCAAGAACCCGGTGTTGACTTGTTGACTGGGTACACTGCCCCTGGGGGTCAGGATTGGGGCATTAACCCGTCAACCAGCAGAGAAGGGAGGCCGGGTGGGGCCGGGTAGGGAATCCGCCATCACGGCGTTTGCTCCCTTGTGTTGGTAGCGTGTTGTGCATGGTGGCTGTGATTCTCCGGTGAGTGAGCTGAAAAAAGCTGAGCACTCCTTTCTTTCTTTTTTTTCTTTCCTTGACGATTGGTGCGTAATTTCCTTTCACCTGCTTCACTGTTTTGCATCATTATTAGTATGCTTACAAAACATGAACTGCACTGAACTGATGGTGCTTGGTTTTCCATGGACCAAGAACAATGTCAGGTTTCATTTCATGCACTGGCCCATCAGCCTGTGAAACAAAATAAATATAGCGTATAATATGTAATGCAGTGCATAGGCAAGTGGTGCCCTTGCAGCACTGGGAACTAGCTATGCAAGCTGACAGTTTTTCTCATCTGAGCAACTGCTGTGGGCACCTATACTAGCGCTGGCTAGACGTCCAAATTGAGAAATGGGGGATGATGTACCCCTATGCTGTTGGCTTTGTTTGCTGCGATGCTGGAAATGCTGTCACTGGCCCATCGTTGACACCTTTTGCTCACGCACCTGTTACGTTTGGGTTGTGTTCATTGTCTTGTGCGCAGGGACCAGCAAGTGCCTACATGCAACGTTGCGGTGGACCATGGGAGGCAACTGGAAGGTGAGAGGGGAAAATGTGTCAATGACCTGAAAGGCACATTGATGAGACAAAAGGAGTTCCCCAACAGCACATAATATGTGCCAAACATATGCCATATGTTTGTGCAGATGTGCATCTATCTGTATAAGGCCAAGGATACCAGCCGTGGTTGCCAATAATGCTTGGCATCCCCCAGTAGCAGCTTTGTGCGGTGGCATGACAAAGTGGTTTTGACAAGGTAACAGGTGCTCTGAAGCTTGTCCAATGATTGTTGCAGGTCTGAACCTGTTGCTGTTAACGTGCTGTTCAATTCGCATTGGCTGTTGTTGTGTGTGCGTCACTTGATAGCAATGGCGTCAAAGTTGTTGAAACACAGCCTGTACCACCTGGTGGGCGTATGACTGCACACAGAGCATCTGCAGCTGTTACTGCAAGCAGTCACACTTCACAATGGATGAGGGCATGCCAGGTCGCTTGCATTGCTCTTTGCTGTTTTCTCTTCTTCATGCACCACAGTGATGTGACGCGGTATGCCATGATGGTGAGGACCAAAACATCGAGCAGATCAGTGTCGCTGCCCATGCGATTGCAACTTCCATTTTGCTACAACGTTTCTGCTGCGCAGAACTGGTATGTTGTCATAGCAAGTTGCAGCAGAATGTTGCTTGTATGGTCCAAATCAAAGAAATCGTTTTGTTGTGATATAGCTCTTTATTCTGATATAGTACATTGTGCTTGTTGTTGTGCTGTTGTGGATCAGAATGTTGCAATCACCATGAATGGATCTTGTCTCCAACCTGTGCAAACACTCCAGCTTCAGATATTTCTAGATAAGTTTTCAGATGTTTTTGTGCATGTGCCCTGCTTGGCCCTGCATGCAAACAAGAAGCCAGAGCCAGTCCCAGGGTCGGAAAACAGAACATGAGTAACTGTGCAGAAAGTCTTTTGGAAAGAAAGAGGCAGCTTGGCTGATCCTGTGTGTTGCAAAATTTTGATGAAAACACTCTCTCCAGACGTGTGCATTCTCCACATTGATTGCCACAGCACAATGGAGGGATAATTCTGCATGGTCAGAGCTCTGGGATGCAGATCCGAGTGTGTGTCGAACTAATGTGTCAGACGAGAGGGTGCTGAGGACTCTTATCTGACTGTATCAGGTGAGGCGTCAGGCCGAAGGCTGAAGCAGGATGAAACGAAAGAGAATGCGAGCGAGGTGGGTGGCATGGTGGTGTGTCGACAGAGCGCCAGCCCTACCCTTTATTGATTGCATGCACACTGTTATCCTGCGGGCGCATATAGGTTGTACTTCTTGGAGCCCCAATTAATTGGCATTTGTCAAGAATTGAAGAAGTATGTTGGCCTTGTTTAAAAGCAGAAAGTAAATCAGACATCCTCAAGACCGGATCAAGAGATCCCTGGGAACCACCATGTTATTTTGCAATCCTGCACTTTCCAAGCACAGGGAGCAGCTCCCTAGTGCCAATACTAGTGCCAATATAGTGCCAATATTAAGCCATGCTATTTGCCATGTGTATTGCCAAATATGTTGCCAAATTTGTATTGCCTCGGACCCTAATATTCGGAGCACCACATTGTACCACTGTTTGCCTTCTCCCATTATGCTGCATGCTGTATAGCCTGGCGATGATTTTCCTGTTTCTGGCCTGCCCTCACCCACCCCCACCCCAACCCAACCCCCCCAGAGGACATGAATCGGCACTGCCACGCCTGCTGGATTTCAGTGACAGCATGGACTTCCCAAGCATTCTTGACACCTGCCCCGATTGCTGACAGTTTGAGCATCTTGGCTGCCCTCAGGACAACAGAGCAGTTTTTAAGGGCATTCATTCTAGAAACAGAGGCAACTCGTGACCATGAGCACCACCAGTTCCTCACACAAAATTGTCAAGTGTGCCAGGGCGTTGCCGAAGGGCATGTGCTGTGCAAATTCACAATCAGACACCCTTGATCATGGGGCAGAATTAAGCACACACCTGAACCCTCGAGTTGGCCATTTTGCCCAACGCGAAAGCCAATTGTATACCATTTTCTTTGTTGAGTAGGGCTGGAGGGTGGCTGGGAACCTTATATGCCTGAGCTGCTGTGCGTGGTGTGACTTTGTGCTTTACAGGGGAATGAGCAGAATATTGTCTGAGAACAATTCATTGAGATTTTGTGCTTGGATCAGAAGAACACTGAGAATCCTTCCGCAGAAGATCTGATTTAGTCGATTCTCTGATCTCTAATTATGACTTGGCCCAAAAGAAACATTGCGGCTGTGGGTAACATCGATGCAACGTGTGATAGCATGAGCTGCTCTTTAGTCTCTCGGGCAAGAATCTCTTTGTAAGGGCTTTGGTTTTCTTAGTCGGTTGTGCTCAATAGCTAAAAGAATCGTTGACACAGTCTCTGTGCCATGCCCCGTCTCCCAGATGCTCTGGAAAGCAGCGGTCATCGGCGACAAAGAAGCGGCGGAGGATGCCATCAAGCGTAATGCCAGTTTGGAGTCGCGCCACGGGCCCTTCAACAACACTCCCATCATCGCTGCCTCACGTGAGGGCCATGACATGCTGGTCGAGCTACTCGTCAACGAGAGTGCCAATGTCAATGCCCTTGCGGAGGACAACGTGTCCTCGCTGTTCCTTGCGGCGCAGTTCGGCCACACGGACGTTGTCAATGTCCTGATCGCTGGCAAGGCTGATGTGAATATCACTCGGGCGTCCTACGGCGATTCCCCCCTCTTTGTTGCCTCGCAGTCCGGGCACAGGGAGGTCGTGGAGGTGCTCATCGATGCGGGCGCCGATGTGAATGCAACAGACTTGGACGGCAACTCAGCACTGCACATTGCTGCAGAGAAGGGGAATGATGCGATTGTCAAGGCTCTCTTGGGGGGGAATGCGACTGTTGGCCAGAAGAATAGGCAGGGGGTCACTCCTTTGCACCTGGCATGCGTGGGCGCAGAAGGGACAGTGGTTCAGACGCTTTTGGATGCTGGAGCGGACATGGATGCAAGGGCAAACGACAGTTCGACGCCGCTGTTGTGGGCGGCATGGTTTGGAAACTTGGCTGCAGTGAAGGTGTTGACGGAAAATAGCGACGGGGAATTGCTGCCGGTCGAAGAGCTCGCCAGTGTGGAGGAGCAGGTGGGTCCTTGAGGCAAACATTCTTGTGAAATTGGCTTGACGAGTGAAATTGAGAAATGTGTGAAATTCAAGAATTGACCTTCATCTAACAACGGACAGAGAACATTGATCGACATGTGGAAAGCTGATTGACAGTGTTGAGGAATTTGATTAAGAAGGTTGGCAACATTGAATGAGGAAGTCACTTTTTGTCCAAATTGTTCATTCCTGGTATAGAAGGGCCTGCCAGAATGCTGGAGCAGGCTGATGTGAAACAGATGTTTCCAATGGTGTATTGTGACAATTGATCGACATAATCGTTGAGGGTACACTTCCAGCTTAAATGACTGCAGTTCCTGGAGGTGACTGCAGCGGCAATTGGATCCCTGTTTGCACCGAGTATCGTCTACCCGTGCATTGACAGATTGGTTTGCCAATTCTGAGAAAATGTAGACATCGAATCCATTGAGGAATTATGCCTATAGAGTCAAGGAGGTGCATTGACAGATTGGTTTGCCAATTCTGAGAAAATGTAGACATCGAATCCATTGAGGAATTATGCCTATAGAGTCAAGGAGGTATCCGTAAGCACACGCTATTCGCCCGAGGAATGTCTGATGTGTACGATCCTTTTTGATATACTTGAAGTAGTCTGTACGGAGGACGGTCAACAAGACGTACGTGAAGAATCAACATATTTGCAAGTCGATACGCCAGATCCTGTTGATTGTTTTTTGGTGGAACTGGCAGTGCACCGTCCTTGTGCATGTAAGGCGATGACTGGTGCTTGATTCCTTCCACAGCTCTTGTTCGGCAACGTTCATTCTATTCTCTTGAGCGAGGAAAGCAATGTTCATTGAATCGCTATGAAAACAGGACTTCTTGGAGTGATAGTCAGTCCTGAGGAGTTTCCAAGCGACTTCCAGTTGATTTCTTCGATCTGCACTCCCTTGTTAGTTGCCTCCTTGCACATCGCCCGTGCCTTGCAGGAAATGACGGGCACCTGTGTGTCCCAAACTTTTGTCTGTGCCCGTCAATTCGCTACTTCGTTGCTTCATCAATTCGGTAATTCATCAAGTTGTTCATGATCTAGTGAGTTTATTGATTCGTCATATTGTTAGCTCGTGCATTGGTCGTAATGTTAGTGCATTAATGCGTTCCTAGGGTGCAACGAGGAGCAGCCTTCACAGAAAGTATCCGCCCCTGTGTTCAACATCGCACCTTCCTTTCCACTTTGAAGCTCTTCTCAGGCACCTCGCCCACTTGCCATGTTGTAACAGGCGTGTCATTTATTCCAAGGACTGCAATCAATGGAATCAATTCCATTCATTCCTTTGATTACAATCAATTGAGAATTGAATCAATTCCATTCACTCCATTGATTACAGTCAATGGAATCAATTCCATTCATTCCATTGATTACAATCAATGAAATTGGTCACGAGGCCAGCCATTCTCCACGCACACTGACCCTGCCGACGCGCCCCTGCGCAGGTGTGCAAGTGTAGGGAGGTGGAAGAGGCGGGCAGGCCGGACGACAAGGCGCTGCTGTGCCCTGACAGCACGTGCGAGGACGACGGCAGCGATTTGGCGCAGCTCAGGGACTTGCTCAAAAACGGGAACTCGGTTGAGGACGGGGGCAGCCCCAGACCGGGAGGCTGAGCGCAGGCGCAGGCGCGACCGCGCTCCCAGCCGGAGTGCTGCCCGCATGGGTGGCACTCAACTTTGACATTTCGGCTTTGATGTTCGACTTCGACGTTCTACTTCGACATTCGACATTCGATATTCGACTTCGCTGTTCGCCCAATTTATGGCAGGTCCGCCCGGCGCTGTGGCGGGCCGGGCCGTCGATTTTTGCCGCCTTTGTCGGAACGGGATTGACGAAGGGCGGGCCTGGGCGCCCCGCGCCTTGCCCATTGCTGGGTGCGGGGCCGCGGCGTTGCTGAACGCCCTCGATGCGATTGGATTGGTTCTGGAGTTTTGGATTGCAGATGGGCGCTGGCGGGGCCTTGGAACTCCCCGGGGAGAAGCGGCATGAAGATGAGGACACTTACAGCAATCGTTTGCACAGCTTTTCCTCGAAGGGGTGCTCCTTGCGGCTTCCAGGCCGGCGGCGGGGCGTCGTTTTGCTGCGGAGGCGAATGTGGGCGGAGCAAGAACCAACTGAACATGCGGTGCTGGGAAAGCTGGACGGAAAATGAGGCCGGCGGGGGCAGAGTGAATCGAAGAATTGCTGTGCTGAGTTGGGTGCGCGGGCTGGGGGGGGACGGGCAACGGGGGAAGGACTGCTGAACTGTTTTCTGCTGATACGCGCTTGTCGCCAGAATTTGTATTGTTTTGCGCATTCTGAACTGGCCAAGCCGCTTTTCTTGTCCCAAAGGGGCGCGGCGCGCTGTTTGGCCAGAGCATCGCTGTCGGGCGAGCGCTGCCCTGTGCGTCGCAGCGTCTGCCCGTCGCTCCCCACCCCCGTTTCCTGGCGGAATCTGTCATGTTCTGTCGCTCAGCGAAACGAATGTACTGCACCGTTGCATCAGCCGTGCCCAGCATTAAACCACGCAATGCGCCTTGCGCGCGCCCCTCGGGACTCGACTGGCGTCGGGCCAGCCCCAGACGCGGCGTATCTTACGAGCCCATTGGCTCCCCGCTGGCCGCCAGCGTCCGAGCGCTTGCCAACGGGCACCCTCTGAAGCGACGCCCTCTAGATGCCACGTAACAAGTGCCCTCTGGTGCCACTCAACAAGTGCGCTCTTGGATGTCGTTGAACAGTGGCTTCTTTTGACTTCACTTGGCAAGTGACGTCAGC